CTGGGGAATGTTCAGACAATCAGGTTTGCCTAAGAAGAAAGAGATGGTGGCTCCATTTTTTTCTATATCAAAGATCTAACCTCATTCGAGATTTACAGGATGAAAAAAAAAAAACTCTGTATTTTTCTATTCTTCTGTAGCATCGTCTCTCATATATACATTTGTTTCTACAAGAATACAGAATACAAAAGAGGAGCTTCAGATCTATGGTATCCTACATGGTAGCCATTATCTACCATGAAGGAAGAATCAATGTGCAGATCAAGATTTTATTAGGAGAGAGTTTCGTTCTCCGTAAAGCTTGATCACCGCCTGAAGCTCTACACAGAGTAAAAACGTTGCCCCAGTACTGGCTTGTTAAGCCATTACTGAGAGCCAGCTTAAGTCCCACAATCACCACAGTATTGTATAGTGCACACGGTATCACCATCACTACAGTGTCCTTGTCACCATCACTATAGTGCACTTGACACCATTACTATAGTGCACTTGACACCATCGCTATAGTGCACTTGACACCATCACTATAGTGCACTTGACACCATCACTGTAGTGCACTTGACACCACTATAGTGCACTTGACACCACCATAGTGCACTTGACACCACTATAGTGCACTTGACACCACTATAGTCCACTTGACACCATCACTATAGTGCACTTGACACCACTATAGTGTACTTGGCACCATCACTACAGTGTATTTAATACCACTATAGTGTCCTTGACACCACCACAGTGTCCTCGACAGCACCACAGTATCCTTGACACCACCACAGTGTCCTTGACACCACCACAGTATCCTTGACACCACCACAGTGTCCTTGACACCACCACAGTGTCCTTGACTAGCTCACTGAAGGTAGTTTCAGCCGCAGAACATAATTATCATTATTATTCTCATTATTATTTTCACTGTTATTAAAGGGGAACGCAGAGTCCGTAGAGGCAATAGTGAGCCGTAATGGCTTAGAACATTCCCCTTTCTCATGGTATTTCTAGCCCGTTTGACTATTCCTAGTAATATTGACTAGTTTAACTACGGGACTATCACCAGTGCGATCACTTAGTTATTACTGTCTTTAATTCCATTTACTTGGAAGCCGTATGGGAAGTTACACAGCAAATGCTGTAACGGGTGAGAATGAGGTGTAAACCCAGAACGGAGAGGCTCTATTCCATTGAATCAAGAGCCTTTCACGAGCATCAAGGCATCCTCTTCCTCTTACAGAATTTATATATATATATATATATATTAATATATATATATATATATATATATATATATATATATATATATAATCCAACTGTCTTTAAATGAGATTTAATCCAAGAATGTCTAAGAAATTCGGATTTCTTACTATTCTCAGACTTTCATCAAGGAATCTTAAGGATACACATTCCTTTACATCCTCAAAACTTTCGCTTTTTAAAAAATGCCCAGAAAAAAATACATATCGTCCATTTGTATAATGTATAAAAGTTCTGTAACTTCAATAATCTTAAAAATTATACCAAAATATTCCGAGAGAAAATACTTGAAAAAAGTCTTGAAAATACTGTTACTGTGGAATATCTTTACTTATATATATATATATATATATATATATATATTATATATATATATATATATATATATATATAATAATATATTATATATATATATATATATATATATATATATATATATATATATATATATATATAATATATAATATAATATATAATATATATAAATAAATGATAGAGAGAGAGAGTAGAGAGAGAGAGAGGATTCTGTGAGAAGCGAATTGCTAGGACTAGATGCTGTGACGTCATGATGCATTGTTAGAATCAGTTGTGACGTCATGACAAAGTGTTAGAACTAGTAGTGATGTAACACTGTCTTAGTAGTGATGTAACACTGTCTTAGTAGTGATGTAACACTATCTTAGTAGTGATGTAACACTGTCTTAGTAGTGATGTAACACTGTCTTAGTAGTGATGTAACACTGTCTTAGTAGTGATGTAACACTGTCTTAGTAGTGATGTAACACTGTCTTAGTAGTGATGTAACACTGTCTTAGTAGTGATGTAACACTGTCTTAGTAGTGATGTAACACTGTCTTAGTAGTGATGTAACACTGTCTTAGTAGTGATGTAACACTGTCTTAGTAGTGATGTAAACACTGTCTTAGTAGTGATGTAACACTGTCTTAGTAGTGATGTAACACTGTCTTAGTAGTGATGTAACACTGTCTTAGTAGTGATGTAACACTGTCTTAGTAGTGATGTAACACTGTCTTAGTAGTGATGTAACACTGTCTTAGTAGTGATGTAACACTGTCTTAGAAGTGATGTAAACACTGTCTTAGTAGTGATGTAACACTGTCTTAGTAATGATGTAACACCTGTCTTAGTAGTGATGGAACACTGTCTTAGTAGTGATGTAACTGTCTTAGTAGTGATGTAACACTGTCTTAGTAGTGATGTAACACCGTCTTAGTAGTGATGTAACACTGTCTTAGTAGTGATGTAACACTGTCTTAGTAGTGATGTAACACTGTCTTAGTAGTGATGTAACACTGTCTTAGTAGTGAGTAACACTGTCTTAGTAGTGACGTAACACTGTCTTAGTAGTGAGTAACACTGTCTTAGTAGTGATGTAACACTGTCTTAGTAGTGATGTAACACTGTCTTAGTAGTGAGTAACACTGTCTTAGTAGTGAGTAACACTGTCTTAGTAGTGATGTAACACTGTCTTAGTAGTGATGTAACACTGTCTTAGTAGTGATGTAACACTGTCTTAGTAGTGAGTAACACTGTCTTAGTAGTGATGTAACACTTCTAGTAGTGATGTAACACTGTCTTAGTAGTGATGTAACACTGTCTTAGTAGTGATGTAACACTGTCTTAGTAGTGATGTAACACTGTCTTAGTAGTGATGTAACACTGTCTTAGTAGTGATGTAACACTGTCTTAGTAGTGATGTAACACTGTCTTAGTAGTGATGTAACACTGTCTTTAGTAGTGATGTAACACTGTCTTAGTAGTGATGTAACACTGTCTTAGTAGTGATGTAACACTGTCTTAGTAGTGATGTAACACTGTCTTAGTAGTGATGTAACACTGTCTTAGTAGTGATGTAACACTGTCTTAGTAGTGATGTAACACTGTCTTAGTAGTGACGTAACACTGTCTTAGTAGTGACGTAACACTGTCTTAGTAGTGACGTAACACTGTCTTAGTAGTGACGTAACACTGTCTTAGTAGTGACGTAACACTGTCTTAGTAGTGACGTAACACTGTCTTAGTAGTGACGTAACACTGTCTTAGTAGTGATGTAACACTGTCTTAGTAGTGATGTAACACTGTCTTAGTAGTGACGTAACACTGTCTTAGTAGTGATGTAACACTGTCTTAGTAGTGATGTAACACTGTCTTAGTAGTGATGTAACACCGTCTTAGTAGTGATGTAACACTGTCTTAGTAGTAATGTAACACTGTCTTAGTAGTGACGTAACACTGTCTTAGTAGTGATGTAACACTGTCTTAATAGTGATGTAACACCGTCTTAGTAGTGATGTAACACTGTCTTAGTAGTGACGTAACACTGTCTTAGTAGTGATGTAACACCGTCTTAGTAGTGACGTAACACTGTCTTAGTAGTGATGTAACACTGTCTTAGTAGTGACGTAACACTGTCTTAGTAGTGACGTAACACTGTCTTAGTAGTGATGTAACACCGTCTTAGTAGTGACGTAACAACTGTCTTAGTAGTGATGTAACACTGTCTTAGTAGTGATGTAACACTGTCTTAGTAGTGATGTAACACTGTCTTAGTAGTGATGTAACACTGTCTTAGTAGTGACGTAACACTGTCTTAGTAGTGATGTAACACCGTCTTAGTAGTGACGTAACACTGTCTTAGTAGTGATGTAACACTGTCTTAGTAGTGATGTAACACTGTCTTAGTAGTGATGTAACACTGTCTTAGTAGTGATGTAACACTGTCTTAGTAGTGACGTAACACTGTCTTAGTAGTGATGTAACACTGTCTTAGTAGTGATGTAACACTGTCTTAGTAATGATGTAACACCGTCTTAGTAGTGATGTAACACTGTCTTAGTATGATGTAACACTGCTATAGTGACGTACACTGTCTTAGTAGTGATGTAACACTGTCTTAGTAGTGATGTAACACTGTCTTAGTAGTGATGTAACACTGTCTTAGTAGTGATGTAACACTGTCTTAGAACTAAGCTGAATTTGGTTCTATATTTTTGTCTAGATTTTTAGTTAGATATTACGACGGTGGACCGAAATTATTTTCGAACAGCATAAAAATAATTTACTACACCGATGTTATGTTCACTAAATTATTAACAAAATAATTACACTGATGTTACATTTAATCTCGGTAAGTATAAGGTTCATTTATGATTATATTATCAAGGTTAATAAGTTAGTTATGGTGAAAAATTAATATATTCTCTGCCTTGTAAATAAAAAAATAATGCTTATATTAATTAATTCTTTTGCAAAATTAACATCTTCATGATCTTGTAAATAAAAAAATGATCCTTTCAATGAAAAAAAAAAAAAATTCAATATTTCGAATTTTTTTGGTGTGTGTGTGGGGGGGGTACAATTTCACTTGTTTGACAGTTTCTTTGATTTTTTTTTACTTAAGAAGCTTCAGCAACTGGTAATTTCTTTGATTGCTTGATTAATTAAGACCGGAAATTGTTCCTCATCGGAAATTAGTCTTGCTGTAGAATGAGAAAGAAGGAGTGACGATATCGTCATAACACAACTGGAAACAAACCACGGTACGAGTGGGGTTAGAACACATGGCACGTGAGTCGTAAGACCCCCACCCACACCCTGGTTTGGAGAAGGAAGGGTCAGCGAGGGAGCGTAAGTTGACGCTGACTGAACACGCAACCTGCTCTACGCTCCTAGCAAAATAGAACTGTTACATTTCAGTGACTGGTTTAACGTTGTTACATTTCAGTGGCTGGTTTAATGTTGTTACATTTCAGTGACTGGTTTAACGTTGTTACATTTCAGTGACTGGTTTAACGTTGTTACATTTCAGTGACTGGTTTAACGTTGTTACATTTCAGTGACTGGTTTAACGTTGTTACATTTCAGGTGACTGTTTAACGTTGTTATATTTCTGTGCTTTAGTTTGACACTGAAAATTCAGCTTTTTGAGACTGTTATTTCTTATAAACTATATTTTTTTGGTGAAATGTTAATGCAATGTTTGAGTCAGTTCATAGACCGGGCCTCGGGGGCGCTGACCCCCCAGAACTCCCTCCAGGTAGATTCCAGGTAGGTAGACTGGATATGCAGTGTCCTTTATTCACTGACCAATTGTCCAGCAACTCCCCCAGGAACATAATCGTCACTAAGTCTATCCTCGAATGGATTTATGTGGATTTTCCATCAGTCACAGCCACAACAATGTCGAATATTAAAATGGGGTAAAATACCGACAGGTTGTTAGGTAAGAAACATATACAACAGTTAGGTATAATCACGTCTTTAAGGGTGATGGATTGATTACATCGTCCTCATATCTCTTCTGCTTCTACCAGCTTTTTTGTACTCGACTGAAGAAGCCTACTGTGTAGGCGAAACTTTTCGAAATAAAGATACCTAACTGTTGCACATGTGTCTTACCTAAGAACATAAAACAATATAGCTTACAGATCAAATATTTTCATATTTGTGAGTTTAAATGACAATATTATCTCTGTTGGTTCGTCACTGCGCTCAATAAATACACTGGCTCTTTTATCACAGCTCGTATATATAAAAAAAGTATTCGAATACCATTTTTTAAAAGTATTTCTCTTAGCCACTGAAATGTCCTACTGAGAGTTTAGGAAATTACATTACAGTTCCGTGAAATACTTCTCACATCGTCCTCAACATCGCACCGTCTTCACACTTGTAATTCATGTGCCTTGCGACGATATTTAAGTATATTGTCTAATCATTTTCGCATAAACAATCTAGTTAACCCCGACCGTTTTACCATGCACAGTCTGGAGACTTGGATCTTGTGCCCTCAGAAGCAGTCACTATAGTGCCACACAGACACTGTTGATAAACAATGCAGAAAGGCGGGATATTCTCCTACCTAATTTTTTTTCTTTCATAGGCGTGTTGATGTAGACCATTGTTTTGCTTTATTTCTGTTATATGCACAACAGTGCCGTTAAATGCTGCTTCGTTATTTACATCTCATTCCCTTCACAGTACTCTTTTTATTCTTTTATCAAATAATTACTAAGTTGTCCACACCTAGTTTTCAGTGGTCTTATTTATTCCTGATTTTTGTCCTATACACTTGAAAGAACTCTAGGATTTGTCTTTGATTCTCAGGCTACACTAATTTCATAGTCGCGTTTAGCCTTTCTAATCCCCTCCTTCACATTTCTTTTCAATCTTGTAAATATTTTATCCGTAAATGCAGTATGAGGTGATTTAATTTTCTTAGCACACATTATTGTGTTGCATTTCCTGCAGCCTTAAACCCGTTTGGGCCATTTAGCGCAATGAGTGGTGAGGGTTTCGATTCTACGTCCGCTGATCGTGACCCGGTCTTTGTTCAGTTAGGTTATAAGTGACTTCACAAAAGAAGCATACAATGAAAATATGACCTTCTGCTGCCTTTGAGAAAGGGACTGTCATTATTCCGGACCTTAAAGGGCACTTCGAACGATATTGGCCTCGCTCTCAGATAAAGGCAAACCCTTCTCATGTCTTTTGAATATCACAAAGAGGAAATTGAATTTTTCCACGCACACAGATGTACACCGAGAAGGTTATATCTCTCAGTGTACCTGAGAGTTACTTTTACTCCATTTTAAGGGATTAAAGTATACTTTAATCACTTTTTAAGGGATTGGTAAACATCTGGACATGCAGTCTTAATGATCCTGTGGGTAGTCGATAGACTTCTAAGCGTAGCCAACCAGCCAATCAATTCTTCCAAAAGCTGGACTTCCCGACTTTTATTTTTGTATCGCAGGACGAACTACTGTCTAGCGCACTGAGAGCTTCTCTTGAGCCTCCCATAAACAGGTTAGGTTAGGTAAGGTTTGTTAGGAAACAGGACAAGTGTTTACTGACGCGGGTCTTAGTCATATGATGACCCGCTGCTGGAGCTTTTGGTCATCTGACCAAGGCTTTCCTGAAGGACTTTTGGTACCTGTTCTCTGATAAACATACCATATGTGAAATCGAGGTGAAGTTCTCTATGTTTTCCTGAAGTGCTAAATCTGTGCGTGGCTTATTCAGCGGATGGGAGTGATGGCAATTCGATCCTCCATCTGGAAGGCGAAAGATAAAAACACTGCTCTTTCAACCGGACTTCTACCAAATGACTTTTAGCGTTCGTGTGTCATTACTCGGTCCGAGAACTCGGCTCAGGCGCTCAGATCGAGGACGGTGTTGGCTTGCAGGGTCGACCAGGCTCAGTGACACCGCTGATGGATGAAGATGGTGTGGTCATACTATATCTCTTAGTCATTCATGGCTTAGGAAGTCCCCATAGGTCATGAATGTGTGTGTATCCCATTGTGGTGAGTGGTCCTGTGTACCATAGTATTTTGGGTGGTCCTCGAAAGTGAAGACTCCTGTGTACCATAGTATTTGCGGGTGGTACTCAAGGATAAGACTCCTCTGTACCATTATGGTGGGTGATCCTTGAAGGTGAAGACTCCTGTCTTCCATAAAACAGTGGACGTTTTAGCCTTCGTAAATAAACCAAGACCATTCTCAAGGAGATTCTTTACCTATGGAAAGATTTCAGTCTTTATTTTTCCTAAGCCCATTGACCTGTTCCAGAACCATGAAAAAGCCTCCTGAAAATTTAAACATTATACATCGGCTGTTGATTTTGATTAAACAATTTTGCTTCTAAGAAATCTTATAAAGAAAAAAAATACGCTCCAACGTCGGAGTGGACAATTTCCCAGCTACTTCATTTCTCACTTACAATCTGGACTGTTTCTGAGCCTCCAAGAAATTCTGGCAGTTTCATAGCTAAATATACCTTGCTGTATCTCTAAATACAAGGCGCTAATAAATCGAGCCCTAGTGTATTAAAGATATTTTTTAAAGATGGAGAATCTTTGTCTCTTCATTTCACGCACTTCAAAGTGCCATTCACCGGAGCCTGGCCGTACTCTTTCCGGCATCAGATGATGATAGTGCGCATCTTCAAGACCTTGACCAAACCAGAGTCCTGATCACTCTCAAATAGCGGAGATCTGCTCCAAAATGAGACATCGCTCTCCCGAAGACGCTCTAGAGCGATCGTGGGAGAACCTCGGGGTGGCCGAGGCGTCTAGCACCGTATACTCCGTCAGGGCGGTGGAGGAGGAACCATTCTGGTGGTGGCGGGGAACCTCCATGAAGAGAGGCCCGCTGCTCCTCGCACTGGCTGCTCTTTGCCGTCCTGGGCTGCTTCTGCGGGAGGCGAAGAAGGTATATTGAGTTAGGCAGATAAGAGGGAAGTGGTAGGTAAACTGCTAGCGACAGAGATAATGAGAAATTATGTGGGAGGGGAAACATTAGTGGTGCAGGGAGAAGATAAATTATAAAAAAGGAACCCGATGAAGCTTCAAATGAGAATTTGAATGAGGAATGAAATAAAGCGGGCTTTAATATGAGAAAGATAATGTTGAATAACGTGAGGGTACAAGGGAGTACACAGACAGCAAAGGCCTTTAAGTCCAGACAGAGGCCGTCTGCTGAGAACTATCTATTTCTGTCTGGATTAAGGACTATCGTGAATTATCTAAATAGTTATGTCAAGGACAGCTTCTTAATTGTCGCTCCTGCTCTAGGTGCTTCAGCGACGAGGTCGTTAGCACTCGGGGAGACACTCGTCTGGCTCAGTGGCAGAGTTTCAAGAACATTAGAAACACGTATCAAGGACAAAAAAGCAGAATGCAAAAATGAGGAGGAAGGCAGCTGATGAAAGAAACGGTGATTGATGAATAGATGCATTTGCAAAATTCGAGAAGTAATCAAATTAGCCACAGATGAGGTGAAAAAATGTGAGAGACCATGTATTGTTGTGATCATTGAATCTGTACATGAATGGTATATAATACTTACAAGATAAAAAATAGACATTTTTGCAACATCTGGGTATCTTTATTGTAGACGTTTCGCCATCCAGGCGAAACGTCTACATAATTGGAGGATAGTAGAACTGTGTACAAAAGATGAGGTAATTAGTCCCTCAGCCTTGGAGTTGGTGTGAAGACCACCGTAGTCGTGAAGAATCTGGAGCACAGGCAAGAAGTCTGGCGCTTATATACTGGCGTCAGGTGGAAATGGACGGGTTAGCAGAAGGCATAGTCACTGGTAAGCGGGATTTCCCAGCGGAAGTAGGTCGGTAATTTCTGATATGCAATTTACACAGAGCGAAACGATGTCGCAGTTAAAGCTTGTTGCACAGCTTCCGTCTTTGTCTTCACTGAAGCACATCCTCTAGTACCACAGTATCGTAGCATAGAGGCGGTAAAATACTGGTTTGGTGCTACAGACGTAAGACAATCCTCACAACGCGTCTATAAGCACCTGGGAGTAATTCTCAGTTCACTATATCATTCAGAACTGTCCATACTTACTGCCCAGGATATATACACCGAAAGGTGTAATAGCTCTCAATTGTATGTACATTAAAACCTTTAAGGATTAAAATATTCTTGACTAGTGGTGAACAAGAGGCATGCAGCTCTGAATGACCCAATGAGTGGTTGACATGTTGTAAGATCACTAAACCAACCAACCTACTCACTTGACGACCAGACAGCAGGTGGAGCAACAGGAGGGTGACTCGGGGAAGACAGCGTTGGGGTCGCTGTCACAACAACAGCACACCTGGGAACAGCAGGTGGGTAGCGGCCTGCATCTTGAGGTGAGGATCCTCTTAAAGGCGTCTCTAAACTCTTGGTTAAAGATGCTGTAGATGATGGGGTTAAACGAAGAGTTGGTGTAGCCAAACCACGTCAGTGTCTGCAGGAGGAGGAGGAGGAAGGTGGTGAAATGAGGTGTGTGTATATGTGAGAGAGAGAGAGAGAGAGAGAGAAGAGAGAGGAGAAGAGAGAGAGAGAGAGAGAGAGAGTAGTGGAGAGAGAGAGAGAGAGGAGAGAGAGAGAGAGAGAGAGAGAGAGAGAGAGAGAGGAGAGAGAGAGAGAGAGAGAGAGAGAGAGAGAGAGAGAGAGAGAGAGAGAGAGAGAAGCAGCATTGTTAATCAGATACACGAAAAGCTCTGCAAAATTTGTGTCTAGGCTCGAAGCGAGACCAACACAATGGCTTCCAATCCTCTCACAAAGACACTGGAGATATCCTCCAATTGCAGTTACACACCACAATTATTATAATTATTATTAAATTATCATTATTAATTATTATTATTGAATAACTTAAGTGTAATGAACATTTGTCACTGCTCAATAATAACCCACATGGACACAAAAACTCAGGAGATTAATTCATCTGTATATTTCGACCCTCTTCTGGGATCCTCTTCAGCAGATAAAGAGGATACCAGAAGGGAGTAGAAATATATAGATCAATTAAACTTTTGAATTTCTGTCTCCGTGTGGATTGTTAAAGAGCATCGTTATTATTATTATAATTATAATAATTATTATTATTGTATAACTGGTCTACTGTCTCTTCTAGCCTAAATTAACTTAATCTAAATATAAAATAAAGAATCTATTAATATCAGATTGATTAACTACTAAGAAGCGTTGAGAAACTGACGTTAGAGTACTACGTCAAATGAGTGACGTTGTAAAATGATACTTTATCTATTCTCTAATGCGCCTTGTCGCTCTCCTTTGTCTCTCCTCCAATTATTTGAGTCTGTCCTTCTCTCTCTTGAGTGATCTTGTTCCTTTCATTTTCTTTTCTCCATCAGATCTCTCTCTCTCTCTCTCTCTCTCTCTCTCTCTCTCTCCACCCAGTTTTGCTTCAGGCTCACTGCGAAACCTCTCACTCTGTCTCCCTCCTCCCCACGTTATCTCCCTTCTACACTTAAGAACATAAGAACATAAGAACGAAGGAACACTGCAGAAGGCCTACTGGCCCATGCGAGGCAGGTCCAAGTCTCCTACCGGCTTAAGCCAAAGCACCCAACCTAGTCAGGTCAGGTCACATTGACTTAAGGGAGGAACACGGCAACCGACCTGTTAGCACAAGCTATCAGGTCTAACTCACACCCACCCACATCTACTCATGTATTTATCCAACCTATTTTTAAAGCTACACAACGTTCTGGCCTCTATAACGGTACTTGGGAGTTTGTTCCACTCATCCACAACTCTATTACCAAACCAGTACTTTCCTATATCCTTCCTGAATCTGAATTTTTCCAACTTAAAACCATTGCTGCGAGTCCTGTCTAGGCTAGATATTTTCAGCACACTATTTACATCCCCTTTATTTATTCCTGTCTTCCATTTATACACCTCAATCATATCCCCCCTAATTCTACGTCTTTCTAGAGAGTGCAGTTTCAGGGCCCTTAGTCTATCCTCATAGGGAAGGTTTCTGATACATGGGATCATCTTTGTCATCCTCCTTTGTACATTTTCCAGAGAATTTATATCCATTCTGTAATACGGTGACCAAAACTGTGCAGCATAATCTAAATGAGGCCTAACCAAGGATGTATAGAGTTGAAGAACAACCTGAGGACTCCTATTATTTATGCTTCTTGATATGAAGCCAAGGATTCTATTAGCTTTATTGCGAACACTTATGCACTGTTGTCTTGGTTTCAGATTACTGCTAACCAGAACTCCTAAATCTTTTTCGCAATCCGTAATATTAAGATCTACATTATTTAGTTTATATGTGGCATGGTTATTGTCCTGTCCAACATTTAGAACTTTGCATTTGTCTATATTAAACTGCATCTGCCACTTCTCCGACCACTGCATCAGTCTATTCAAATCTTCCTGGAGTGCTCGTATGTCCTCGTCAGAATGAATTCGACGGCCTATTTTGGTGTCATCGGCAAACTTGCCGATGTCGCTCTTTATGCCCTCATCTATGTCGTTTATGTAGATTGTGAACAGCAGGGGCCCAACACTGACCCCTGTGGAACACCGCTCGTGACGCTTCCCCACTCTGATTTCTCCCCATTTATGCAAACTCTCTGCTGCCTATTTGTCAACCATGCCTCTATCCAGAAAAAATTTCTCCTCCTATTCCATGTGCTTTAATTTTCCTCAATAGTCTCTGATGTGGGACCCTGTCAAAAGCCTTACTGAAGTCCATATACACAATATCATATTCATTACCATGATCTACCTCCTCAAATACCTTAGTGAAAAAATTTAATAAATTCGTAAGGCAGGAACGCCCCTTTGTAAAACCATGCTGAGATTCGTTGATTAATTTATGCTTTTCAAGATGGCTACGAACTGCCTCGGCAATTATTGATTCCATAAATTTTCCCACTATGGAGGTTAGGCTTATTGGTCTATAGTTCGAAGCTAAGGACCTGTCACCTGTTTTGAAAATAGGTATCACATTTGCCATTTTCCACTTATCTGGCACCATGCCAGTTTGTAGTGATATGTTGAAAAGATTAGCCAAAGGTGTGCTAAGCTCCTCTTTACATTCCTTTAGAACCCTTGCATACAGTTCATCAGGGCCTGGGGATTTGTTAGGTTTTAATTTATCTATTTGCCTAAGGACCATGTCACTTGTGACCCTAATAGTGCACAGTTTATTATCGTCCTGTTCTACATAATTTATCATTACTGGAATATCGCTGGTATCCTCCTGTGTAAAAACTGAGAGGAAGTATGTGTTAAAAATTCTACACATTTCCTTATCACTGTCAGTGAGCTGACCCGAGGAACTTTTGAGTGGGCCTATCTTGTCCCTGATCTTACTTCTGTATACCTGAAAGAATCCTTTTGGGTTAGTCTTCGATTCTTTTGCAACTTTAACCTCATAATCTCTTTTTGCTTTTCTAATTCCCTTTTTTATTTCTCTCTTTAACTGAATGTATCGATTTCTTAATTGCGCCTCTCCTCTTTTGATTTGCCTATATATACCTCTCTTTTGACCAATCAGATATTTTAATCTATTGTTCATCCATTTAGGATCATTTTTGTTTGATCTGATTTCCCTATTTGGAACATAATTTGACTGAGCAGCTAGAACTATGCCCTGGAAAGCATCATATCGGCAACCATCACCACCTACCTGACCCTTAGTCAGGTCATTCCAGTTCAGCCCACCTAAGTAATTTTTCAGTCCTATGAAATCAGCCAAGCGAAAGTCAGGGACGGAGACTTGATTGCCATTATTAGGGGAATTCCATGATATATTAAAACTGAGTGATTTGTGATCACTCTCCCCAAGCTCATCATTAACCTCAAGATTATTAATTAGTGTTTCCCTACTGGCAAGAACCAAGTCAAGGAGGTTATTTCCCCTAGTTGGCTCTGTCACAAACTGTTTTAAAAAACAATCCTGGATCGTATCAAGAAAGTCACCCGACTCTAAATTTCCTGTCAAATTGCTCCAGTCAATCTGTCTATAGTTGAAATCTCCCATTAGCACAACATTTTCGTATGTAGATGCCTTACGAATTTCGTCCCATAGAAGTTTACTGCACTCCCTATCAAGATTTGGGGCCCTGTAAATCACACCCAAAATTAGTTTTTCTCGGCCCTCGAGAAGCTGTAACCAAACAGATTCAGTGGCTGACGCTTCTAATTTAATATCTTGTCTAACACAACAATTTAAATTGTCTCTGACATACATCGCTACTCCACCACCTTTCCTGTTGACCCTGTCAGTGTGGAATAATTTATATGCCTTGTATGTGACATTCAGAGGGCATCTCTCTATCTTTCAGATTGAGCCAGGTCTCTGTTATAGCAATAATATCTATGTTTCCTGCACTTGCAATTAATCTTAGCTCATCTATCTTATTTCTAACACTCCTGCTATTAGTATAGTAAACCTTAAGGGAGCTAGTCCCTTGCTGCCCTCTGCTGTCCCCCTTTGTTTGCTGGCATGTTCTATTGTCTTTATTTATAACTTCATGCTGAATGCCTTTTATACATTTACTGTTTCCAACCCTAGTGTTGCAACCTGCTTGTTTCCCACACACACCCATACCTCTATATTCCATCAGTTTAAAATCATAGGCATTTCACCAATGGCCGTCTCAATCGAGTCTGCAAGTGCTACCACCCCTGCCTCAGAGAGATGTACCCCATCCCTTGCATACATATCATGTTTGCCATAAAAGTTGTTCCAGTTGTCAATGAATGGGATTGCAAGTTCCTTGCAGTATCTGTCTAGCCAGCAATTTACACCAATTGCCCTAGACAACCATTCATTTCCTACTCCCCTTCTAGGCAAGATGCTACATATGATTGGGATCCCTCCCTTAGACTTAATGAAATCTATAGCTGACCTGTACTTATCTAGCAGCTCTTCTCTCCTACCCTTCCCAATATCATTTCCACCAGCACTGAGACAGATAATGGGCTTGTTCCCATTACCTGACATGATATTATCCAGCCTGTTGACAATGTCCCCAACACCAGCTCCAGGGAAGCACACTCTATCTCTCATCTTCTTATTCCTATTACAAAAAGCACGGTCAATATATCTTACCTGAGAGTCACCAACCACAAGAATGTTCTTACCTTCATTAGCAGGGGCAGTAGTACCCTTACCTTCACTGGCCACTGAAGTACATTCATCCTGGAGAACAGAGAAGCGATTTCCTACCTTCAGCTCTTCACTCTTAACTTTCCTTACTCTGATGCGCCTCCCATTACTGTGAACAACTCGCCACTTGTAGCAGGTGCTGGGCTGCACCTCACTGCTGGTAGCCGTTGCTACCTCCCCAACTACAGCCTCCTCACAGCGAGAGACAGACTGCACCTCACTGCTAGAAGTCTCATTCCCCACAACTCCAGCCACCTCACACTCTCTCCCAGACCCATTGAGGTGGACCTTCAGCCTCCTAATCTCCTCCTGGAGAAGCAAGACCTCCTCCTTCAACTCTCCAACCTCAGTTTTTAAAACACTGCAGAAGCAAGCCATGCTTTGTAACCGTCCACGCTAATCCCCAAAGCAGCTCAGGGTCTGTGACCTCACGTGACGACTGACCACTGACCACTGACGACTGACCACTGACGACTGACCACTGACCACTGACGACTGACCACTGACCACTGACGACTGACCACTGACCACTGACGACTGACCACTGACCACTGACGACTGACCACTGACCACTGACTTCCTCCTTTCTCTCTAACATTATCCATTATTCCCCATCTCCTCCCCAAAGCTTTCTCCCTCCCATCCTTCCTTCTTCTCCCTAGATTATATTACTTATTATTACCTCCCGTCTGAACTTAATTACCATTCTCCCCTCCCACCTCCCCTGCCAGATTCCCTTTCAACCTCCAGTTCCACTTCCATCCCTGCCTTTCCCTGGCCTCCCATTCCTCACCTTGAAGACAGCAACAGGTATGCAGGCGTGGCAGAAGGCAGCAGCGATGTTGACGCAGAAGAAGGGCACCCAGCAGGTGAGGAAAGTGCCCACGATGATACCCACGGTAGTGGCAGCCTTGGACTCCGACACATGGCATGGTGCCGCTACTTTCTTGGGTCTGGAGGTGTCGCCCTCCAAGGCACCCAATGTCACTGGGCGAACCAATGCCTGGCAGAAGAAGTGTGGTAGTGAGCCCAGGGCCTACATGGTCATGATTTGCTGTAATCAGCTAATGAGTAGCCTGGGAGAGTTTTAAATTGGTGTGGGAGTGGTCTGGGAGAGCATTGGATGGCTGTGGGAGTGGTCTGGGAGAGCATTGGACGACTGTTCAACCTTTAAATATCTTTACTGACGAAATATTTGGCCTGCGTAGCGGCTTCGTCAGTCAATAAAGGTACCTAAATATGATGTGACTTCTTCAGTCCCATACAGAGAAGAACGGAGAAAAATGACGAGGAGTTTGAGGAAATGAGTCCCTCAGTTTAGAGTCGATGTACTGAACACATCGATTCCTCAACTTCCACTGTTCTTTTCTGTATGGGACTGAAGAAGTCACTGGCTGATGTTTACGTATATATAATTTATAATCACCATCATCAAATAATTTTGCTCCCGGAAGCTGATTTGATAATCACAGCCATAAGAGCCAAGAAGTGAAGATAAACATGATAAAATCACCTTAAATGACAAAAAGTAATTTTAAAATGGTCTCTGTTGACATGTTAAAGAATGAATCTGCATATTCGACACGAGACACAGGGTGTAAATTTTTCAAGGGAGGGGGAATGGGATCTTGTAGCTTCAAGTCACAAGTACGTCAGGTAAGTCAAGGGTGAGTGGGTGACCCTCTCAGAACTTGAGTGATGAAGGTTTGCCTGTCCTGCTCAAGCTTTATCAAAAGGGGTAATTGTTGGTTGAAAGTAAATACACAAAAAGTACTGGATCAAAGGGGTGGAAGAGAGTAAAAATGAGATGGGACAGATTGAACAACTGTAGGTGTGTGACTGTGTGGTGGACTGTGTGGTGGACTGTGTGGTGGACTGTGTGGTGGACTGTGTGATGGACTGTGTGATAGACTGTGTGATGGACTGTGTGGTGGACTGTGTGGTGGACTGTGTGGTGGACTGTGTGGTGGACTGTGTGGTGGACTGTGTGATGGACTGTGTGATAGACTGTGTGATGGACTGTGTGGTGGACTATATGATGGACTGTGTGATAGACTGTGTGATGGACTGTGTGGTGGACTGTGTGGTGGACTGTGTGGTGGACTGTGTGGTGGACTGTGTGGTGGACTGTGTGGTGGACTGTGTGGTGGACTGTATGATGGACTGTGTGATGGACTGTGTGATGGACTGTGTGGTGGATTGTGTGGTGGACTGTGTGATGGACTGTGTGGTGGACTGTATGATGGACTGTGTGATGGACTGTGTGGTGGGACTGTGTGATGGACTGTGTGATGGACTGTGTGGTGGACTGTGTGGTGGACTGTGTGTGTGGTGGACTGTGTGATGGACTGTGTGGTGGACTGTGTGGTGGACTGTGTGGTGGACTGTGTGGTGGACTGTGTGGTGGACTGTGTGGTGGACTGTGTGATGGACTGTGTGGGGGGACTGTGTGGTGGACTGTGTTGGTGGACTGTGTGGTGGACTGTGTGGTGGACTGTGTGGGGGACTGTGTGGGGGACTGTGTGGGGGACTGTGTGGTGGACTTGTATGGTGGACTGTGTGTGGACTGTGTGGTGGACTGTGTGGTGGACTGTATGATGGACTGTGCGGTGGACTGTGTGGTGGACTGTGTGGTGGACTGTGTGGTGGACTGTATGATGGACTGTGTGGTGGACTGTGTGGTGGACTGTATGATGGACTGTGTGGTGGACTGTGTGGTGGACTGTGTGGTGCACTGTGTAGTACACTATACACTGTGTGGTGCACTGTGTGGTACACTATTCAAATTCAAATTCAAATTCAAAGTTTATTCTCTATAAGGATTACAATGCTGAGTTTACAGAATTTGGGTATTGTTTTTTTTGTGTGGTTTACATGTAGTAAAATAATAATTACAGTGTACCACTAGAACACCTAGCATGGCTAGGTGTGTGGTGCACTGTGTGGTGCACGGGGTCACGGTTATTCCCAGGTCTTTTTCTTAAACTGTTTCTGTGTGGTATTTACCTAGACGGGGAGTCTTTGAAAGCGAAGAAAGGAGGAGAGGTTTTACTCTCCTTATTTTCTTCTTCTCCACTGCCTCCCTCAACTCACTCCCTCCCTGACTCAACTCACTCCATCCTTCCCCTTTCCTTCCCTGGTGTTTTGATCCCATCTTCCCTCTCTGGGATGATCACCTGCCTTTTTCATTACATGGAATCTCTCCCTCCAGTCTCCCTAAGGTTGCTCCCTGTCTTTCTTCACTGCTCACCTTGATAGACTCGACGTGTCTCTTGGCGTAGAGGTAGAGTCTGGAGTAGATAGCCAACATGACACAGCAGGGCAGGAAAAAGCTGATGAAGGAGGACACAACAGCGTAGATTCTACTCAGCTCCAGGGCACACTGTTGCTCCCCCTGTGTCTGTAAAACGACACCAGGAGGTGAGAACGCAGGAGGAGCAGGCGGAGGAGGAAGTGTAGGCAGAAGAGGGGCGGTAGCAAGAGAGGGAGGAAGGGAAGGATGAGGAGGCAGAAGGATGAGTAGTGGTGAGGGAGACATTCATACGGCTAAAGAAACAGACGTGCAAATGAAAGTGAACTCAACCCCTGCAACCACATATAGGCGAGTACGTACACACACACACACACACACACACACACACACACACACACACACGATCAAGCTCTTGGAGCAAGAAGAGAGTGGACCTAGTAGGGATCAGCCGAAAAGGCGGGGCCAGTAGCTGTGAATCGACCCCTACAACCACAAATAGGTGAGCACATATAAGTGAGTACACACATACACACACACACACACACACACACACTTACGGAGTCAAGTCTGGTATTCTGGGACTCTGGAAGATGGAGTCCCAACATGATGGGCAGGAAGGAGACAAGAGCACTCAGTACCCAGATGGCAGCGATGGACGAGGTTACTATTCTCTTGGTCATCCAGCGTCCGTATCTCAGAGGATCCTGCAAGAGATAGAGACCTGAAGGAGTGCAAGTGGGATCGAGAAAATATGTACCTGGGAAATAGGTATTGAAGGAGTTGTCCTAGGTGTGTTAGTTACCATTTATCAGAAGCGGTTGTTGGCGTGTCTCGTGTGTACAATTGTCCGTGTTAGGTCAAAGCCACCTGTCGATGTGTACTCTTCTATATGCATTTATTACATTTGATTACAGGAGTCGAGTCCTAGCTCCCGGCCCCGTCTCTCAATTTGCTGCTTGTCAGATTCACCCTTAACCTCGTGGGCCCTATTATACCTGGTCTTAAAGCTGGTTGGTGGCCCGGTGGCCTGGTGGCTAAAGCTCCCGCTTCACACACGGAGGGCCCGGGTTCGATTCCCGGCGGGTGGAAACATTTCGACAAGTTTCCTTACACCTGTTGTCCTGTTCACCTAGCAGCAAATAGGTACCTGGGTGTTAGTCGACTGGTGTGGGTCGCATCCTGGGGGACAAGATTAAGGACCCCAATGGAAATAAGTTAGACAGTCCTCGATGATGCACTGACTTTCTTGGGTTATCCTGGGTGGCTAACCCTCCGGGGTTAAAAATCCGAACGAAATCTTATCTTATCTTATCTTATCTTATGGCGCTTGTATCCGCCACTTCCTCATCTGCGTCTTTAACTTCCGGCTGTGTCCCGGAGTTCCTGTTTCTCGCCTCTCAAACAGCCTATTTCCATCTATGTTGTTAATTCCCCTGAGTACTTTGTATGTTGTTATCATGTCTCCCCTGCTCCTTCTGCTCTCAAATGTCGTTAGATTCAATGCCGTTAGCCTTTCCTCAAGTGCGCGCGCGCGCGCGCGCGTGTGTGTGTGTGTGTGTGTGTGTGTGTGTGTGCCTACCTAATTATAATCACCCAATAGTGGTGGCAGTGGTCGAGTCTCAGCTCCTGGCCCAGCCTCTCTGCTGACCGCTGCTGAGTAAACTCACACTTAGCTACGTGACCAGTGTCTTATCTATTCTTAAAGCTGTGTACGGATTATTATTATTATTATTATTATTATTATTATTATTATTATTATCATCATCATCATCATTAATTTTACATTCTTGAGAGCACTACACCCAAAGGGGTCATAAAGCACCTGGAGACTGAGGTAATCAGGTTTGACCACAGGTATAGGAGGAATTTTTTTGGGGTTAAAAATGTCGTCCCAGGCTTCAAGGTCATCACATCCCCTCTCCAAGAAAGCCATAAAATAACCTACCTTGATATGAATGTAACGATCGAGGCTGATGGCACACAGGTTGACGATGGACGCAGTCGAGCACATCACGTCGAAGGCGATCCAGATGCTGCAGTAGTCGTTACCGAAGGGCCAGTACCCTAAGAGGTCGTTGACGAGGGCGAAGGTCATGACCACGCAGGCGACGAAGAGGTCAGCGATGGCCAGGGAGACGACGAATAGATTGCCGATCTTGCGTAGATTCCTGTCGGTGTAGACTGCCACACAGACCAGCACGTTGCCGAAGATGGAGAGGAAGATAACGAAGGAGAGCACGATACCTGAAGGAGGTGCAGATGTATATCTTGTTAACAAAGGTTAAAACCGGGAAGAAAACTGATGAAACTCGCCAATAAAGACGAGGAGATAATGATATTAATACTATACACACTGCATTTCTACTGTATTTTTATTGTATCTCTATTGTATTTAGGATTCTGTTTGATCTGGGAAGGGCATCCTCGTGTCCCATAAGCCCAGCCCCCTCTACCATAATTTAAGTAAAAGATTATAGTTCATAATGGTCAAAAAATTGTAATAAGAGAGAATATATAAGTATGTATGTGTGTGATTAAGCATGTGTGCGTGTATATGTATGTTCGTATGTATACCGGTGATGGATACTTTAATGGCTAAAATTGAGATTTTTTAAAGTAAACTTTTAGTGTATATACACTGAGAGTCATACACCTCCCGGTGTATATACACTGAGAGTCATACACCTCCCGGTGTATATACACTGAGAGTCATACACCTCCCGGTGTATATACACTGAGAGTCATGCACCTCCCGGTGTATATACACTGAGAGTCATGAACCTCCCGGTGTATATACACTGAGAATCATACACCTCCCGGTGTATATACACTGAGAGTCATACACCTCCCGGTGTATATACACTGAGAGTCATGAACCACCCGGTGTATATACACTGAGAGTCATGCACCTCCCGGTGTATATACACTGAGAGTCATGAACCTCCCGGTGTATATACACTGAGAGTCATGCACCTCCCGGTGTATATACACTGAAGTCATGCACCTCCCGGTGTATATACACTGAGAGTCATGAACCTCCCGGTGTATATACACTGAGAGTCATACACCTCCCGGTGTATATACACTGAGAGTCATGCACCTCCCGGTGTATATACACTGAGAGTCATGAACCTCCCGGTGTATATACACTGAGAGTCATGCACCTCCCGGTGTATATACACTGAGAGTCATGCACCTCCCGGTGTATATACACTGAGAGTCATGAACCTCCCGGTGTATATACACTGAGAGTCATACACCTCCCGGTGTATATACACTGAGAGTCATACACCTCCCGGCGTATATACACTGAGAGTCATACACCTCCCGGTGTATATACACTGAGAGTCATACACCTCCCGGTGTATATACACTGAGAGTCATGCACCTCCCGGTGTATATACACTGAGAGTCATACACCTCCCGGTGTATATACACTGAGAGTCATGCACCTCCCGGTGTATATACACTGAGAGTCATGAACCTCCCGGTGTATATACACTGAGAATCATACACCTCCCGGTGTATATACACTGAGAGTCATACACCTCCCGGTGTATATACACTGAGAGTCATGAACCACCCGGTTTTATATACACTGAGAGTCATGCACTCCCGGTGTATATACACTGAGAGTCATGAACCTCCCGGTGTATATACACTGAGAGTCATGCACCTCCCGGTGTATATACACTGAGAGTCATGCACCTCCCGGTGTATATACACTGAGAGTCATGAACCTCCCGGTGTATATACACTGAGAGTCATACACCTCCCGGTGTATATACACTGAGAGTCATGCACCTCCCGGGGTATATACACTGAGAGTCATGAACCTCCCGGTGTATATACACTGAGAGTCATGCACCTCCCGGTGTATATACACTGAGAGTCATGCACCTCCCGGTGTATATACACTGAGAGTCATGAACCTCCCGGTGTATATACACTGAGAGTCATACACCTCCCGGTGTATATACACTGAGAGTCATACACCTCCCGGCGTATATACACTGAGAGTCATACACCTCCCGGTGATATACACTGAGAGTCATACACCTCCGGTGTATATACACTGAGAGTCATGCACCTCCGGTGTATATACACTGAGAGTCATACACCTCCCGGTGTATATACACTGAGAGTCATGCACCTCCCGGTGTATATACACTGAGAGTCATACACCTCCCGGTGTATATACACTGAGAGTCATACACCTCCCGGTGTATATACACTGAGAGTCATACACCTCCCGGTGTATATACACTGAGAGTCATGCACCTCCCGGTGTATATACACTGAGAGTCATGCACCTCCCGGTGTATATACACTGAGAGTCATGCACCTCCCGGTGTTTATACACTGAGAGTCATACACCTCCCGGTGTATATACACTGAGAGTCATACACCTCCCGGCGTATATACACTGGAGTCATGCACCTCCCGTGTATAACACGAGAGTCATGCACCCCCCGGTGTATATACACTGAGAGTCATACACCTCCCGGTGTATATACACTGAGAGTCATGAACCTCCCGGTGTATATACACTGAGAGTCATGCACCTCCCGGTGTATATACACTGAGAGTCATGAACCTCCCGGTGTATATACACTGAGAGTCATGCACCTCCCGGTGTAAATACACTGAGAGTCATGCACCTCCCGGTGTATATACACTGAGAGACATGCACCTCCCGGTGTATATACACTGAAGCATGCACCTCCCGGTGTATATACACTGAGAGTCATACACTCCCGGTGATATACATGAGAGTCATACACCTCCCGGTGTATATACACTAGACATACACCTCCGGTGTATATACACTGAAGTCATGAACTCCCGTGTATATACACTGAGTCAACACCTCTTGGTGTATAAACGAAGTCATACACCTCCGGTGTATTACACTGAATTTTAACCTCCGTGTATATACACTGAAGTCATACACCTCCCGTGTATATACACTGAAGTCAACACCTCCGTGTATAACACTGAGAGTCTGAACCTCCCGTGTAATACACTGAGAGTCATAACCTCCCGGTTTTCTAATACACTGAGAGTCATACACCTCCGGTGTATATACACTGAGGTCATACACCTCTCGTGTAAAACACACAGAGAGAGAGAGGACACCTCCCAGTTTATATAACAAAGAACACACACCTCCCGGTATATATACACAAGACAAACACTCTCCCGAGCACAACCTTACAAAAGTTTCCACTCCACCGTGATGAGTCAGCCATGAAATATATACCATTCATGGTATAATTTCAAGACAACACAATGACATTACGCCGTTGACTGGGTTTTCCCATTACTCACCATTTATGTAAACGCACTCATGCCTAACTTCGAATTTATTATGTAAAGATTTTTCTCAAACTACGACCTTTTCCCGATCTGCCCCTTTGGGCATTCGCGTTTCTAATTTCATAGTGTATTTTTCTTGTGTGTTTCTCTTCTTTACCAAAAGTATTGGAGGATTTTTTTTTCAATTCTAACAAATGCAAATGAAACACGGCTACCAATCAGCTGATCTTCTGACCCCAAAATATTCTACAGATATACATGTCATTTAAAAATATACTAACATACCATACTACTACATACATACAATACGATCACGTAAACAGAATCACAATATGCAAAACAGCCACTGTGAAAAAATAGTGAACTTCAAGCGCTTTCGTTATTCCACTTATCAGAGAAGTCATATATCGTAAGCTTACATACATATAGGGAATTCTCTGGACAACACATCAACTCACAGTAAACACCAACACAACACACACAATCACAATAAACACCAACGCAACACACAGCTCACGATAACGCACACAACAAACAACTCACAGTATAATACGCAACACAAACACAAACTCATAATAAAACACCAAAACAACAAACAACTCACAATATACACGCACACAACAACACAACTCACAATAAAACACGCAATGCCCTCACGAAACGCACAGCTCACACACTAAATCACCATCACGAAAAACACGAAATATACAGTACACCACCACATAGCACACAATAACACAACCTATCATCTGTGTTTTCAACTTTTAGCTGCGCCCCCTTGTATCTATTTTCCTTTTTGAACATCAAATCTATCTACTAATATAACTGCAGGAGTAGACCTTTACAAAGGTCCTTTTGTTTTAACCACAAAACAGCACAACACAACACAAAATACCTCAGCATAACACCACATAACACAAAATGCCTCAGCATAACACCACATAACACAAAATGCCTCAGCATAACATCACATAACACCGCACAATACCTATTATCTTCACCCTCCTTCCTCTATCCTGTGCAATTTCACGCTAAATTAACTATTCATACGTTCTTTTGCCTCAGTTATTTACCACCAGATATGAAAATGCAAAGTATGATATGCAAATCAGAAAATATATTTAGAAATTCAATTAGGATTGTCGATTCCGTCAGTGAGGTGATCTCAAGAAATGTTCTCTCCCCTCTTCCAGTTAATACTTAAGAAATATGTAAGAGCAATATTCACGTGTAATAATAAATACGCAATATTTTTGGGTATTTTCGGGTCACAGTATTTTTGGGCATTTTTGGGTCACAGTATTTTTGAGTATTTTTGGGTCACACGATATTATTGTGCATTTTTGGGTCACACGATATTATTGTGCATTTTTGGGTCACACGATATTATTGTGCATTTTTGGGTCACACGATATTATTGTGTATTTTTGGGTCACACGATATTATTGTGTATTTTTGGGTCACACGATATTATTGTGCATTTTTGGGTCACTCGATATTATTTTTGTATTTTTGGATCACTCGATATTATATTTGTATTTTTGGGTCACTGGATATTATTTTTGTATTTTTGAGTCACACGATATTATTGTGCATTTTTGGGTCACTCGATATTATTGTGTATTTTTGGGTCACACGATATTATTGTGTATTTTTAGGTCACACGATATTATTGTGCAATTGTGGGTCACACAATATTTTAGGGTATTTTTGGGTCACACATTATTGAATAATTTTGGGTCACACAATACTATTAGGTATTTTTAGGTTACTCAATATTATTGAATATTTTTGGGTCACACAATATTTTTGGGTATTTCTGGGTCACACCTGAAGTGGGTAAGTTTAGAGAGAGTTTTGGTGACAGATATCAAAATAATAATGGTATATAATACTGACATGTAGACGAATTAGATATCCTTATT